TTCGTCTCCCTCTGGCAAAATTTAGCATGTACCTAAGTTTTGGGCCATTCCGGCTAAATGTTAAACTTCATTTCACATTAGCACCAATGATAAAGATAGGAAACTGTTTTTGTCAATTTCACTTCCTGCCCAATGCTACTGCTTAGGTACGAAACATTATCTAGTACTGCTTGCTCCGCATAGACCGTTTAAATATACCGTTTAAACATTAGTGTTAGTGAGGGTGCTGTAGTTGGCATGATTGTTCAATGCCCTTGCATGTATTTTTTATACTGTTGCAGAATTTTCGAAAATCGCTGCTCGATGTAAAACTTATTTACCTCACAGAGTGAGTTGTTCAGAATGAAAACAATTTCCGGGCATCATTAGGTACACAAGCACAGTCTTGCTTAAATGCATTTAAAAACACCGGTGTCACGTCTTAACTAACACGAATCATTTCAATCGGCGCTTCCACTTGTTCAACCAACCAGCGTAACAACCTAACGCAGAATGGGTTCCAAAGTATGACCGCATCATGGATATACTGCTTACAAATTTATTTTTTTCCGCATTTTTGCTATTTATGCAAACGCAGAAATGCATTTCAAAAATTTGTTTTTGTGTGTGCACAGCGCACGTTTTTCATATCTTCGACTCAGCAACCAGAAAAGTAGGAAATTGAAGTTTTAGGCACGTAATTCCAGTAGTGCGCGACCGCTTTAAAACTAACTTCCACTTGCGCATAGATCTCACGTACGATAGCTTGAAAAGAAAACTGAAAAAGTTTTGACGAAAAACGGTTATGTGAATCAGTTAACACAGGGACAAGGAGTTCTTTGTCTTGTGTGAGCAAAAGTTTGTTTGCCAAGGCTTCAAATGCATTTATATTGTTCTCGTATGTCATGCACGGACATGTCAAATTTTGCTGCTGGCATGGAGCCAATTCGAAATTTAGCCGAAAAAGAGTAATTGCATTTTTCTAGAAATATTTGTCTTTCTTTTGGAGTTCACGTATGTAAATTGAGTTTTGGATTACGCATGCGTCACACATGCCAGTATGTTGAACACATTTGTAACAAAAGAACGATTTCGTGAACCGGTCAGGCTAGAAAACTAGAAATTTGCGAAGTTTCCTGCTCTTTTTCTCCATAGTTTTAAATGTATTTTTTGCATCAATGCAAAAATGCATATTGTCGAGGGGTTATTTGTGTGTATGTATGTGTGCATGTGTGTGTCTGCAACTAGTTTTCATCTCGAGATCCACAAAAGCTGCAAGGCAAACCGGCTGCCGGTGCGAAGGTGCGTTTTTTGTACAGTTGCCCCATAGGTTTCTGTTGCTAATGGCACTGTTTTTTTTTCAACAAATGCTTCCAGCTAAGAGAACTGAGAGCAGCCACCACGATTTCAATGACTCCCAATCCATGTCCAAAAAATTAATCACTCTAGATGCTTCGGTTGTGGAGCTACGTCAAATTTAACGTGTTTGCACGTGAGTGGCAACGTGAATGCTGTCTTCGCATGCGATTGCTCAAACATCCTGGGCAGAGCTCAGAACAACTAAGCAATCCACCTGCTCTGGTTGCGGAGCTACGTCAGATTTCACATGCTCATATGTGAGCGGCAGTGTGAGTGCTTCCTTTACGTGCAGTTGCTCAAGCACGATTTCATATTAAGTACAAGTAAAATTCCAGTTTTGGATAGCACCTATGGATGAAGATAGAGCATTAAGCCGCAGTTTTGTGAGGAAAGCCCACGTTTAAGCCCGTGAGCACACCTAGATAGCAACATCCATCAGTTTTTCCGGTGCATTCGTGCGTTTTTGCAGCCTGAAGTTTGCGATATCCCAATACGAGACACTGGCGTGTGCGAAAGCTGCTATTACATTTTTGGTGCCACACAGAAATAAACAGTATCCTCATAAAATTTTAGCTTTTTTGCCAAATCAGGCAGCACCCTCATAAAACTTCTTCTCCAAAGCTTTTTCACACTTTCTTTTAAGCGCCCGTGCTTAAGTCATAAGCATACTTTAAAAGTTAGGCTGCACGTGAATCAAAAACACCATCGTAAAATTTCAGTTTCCTAATTTGCTTGGTTGTTAAGTTGAATATGGGTGAAAAAGTCAGAATGCAATCAAAGCACAAGCATACACAAGTCCATTGCAGTGTGTGTTTCTCCACTTCATTAGTGACACCAAAAAAGCTAATGTAAAGATTTCGATTATTAAAAAGCCTGCAGCAGCCGCGTTGTTCGTCTGGCTACACACTGCTTAAAATCCAGCACCACACGTTGGAAATTTAAGCTTTATATACTAAATGATTTTTGAAGTGTTGGAAGAGCATGCTGTTCAATAAATCAGCCTTACCAGCGCATTAATTTTACTAAATCGCGCAACAAAAAGTGTGTGGATACGGTAGTAAATAAATAATAAATAGCGGCGCGCACCGGGTACCAGGTGTAATCATGCGTTTTGCGCAGTCCAACCGACGGGCGTTTGCCTGTTAAGAATTTTCACTGTTCTGCATTTTGATCTGTGCAAAATTAATCGGTATGCTGCTTGGTCCCTAAGATGCGAAATCTTCCACTAGAAATTTCAGGTACTGGTATGTGGAACGCAAGCATACATGAAAGCTAAATTTGAAACTTTGGATGGCGAACACACTTCCAAAACCTCTATCTCCTAATTTTCTGACTTTTAAGTGACTCTTCGCCAAAACCTTCATGTGGTCATGCGCGAAAGATCGGCATACTTGAGAACTAATTGAGTTTGTTAGGCTCCTGCTTAAGCAGAAAACATCCTCCTGAGGTTTTCAGCCTTCTAGCGCATCTCGAACTCGAGATAATAATTTTCCCGCCAAAACTCTCATGAGGCTGTACGTAGGAACCAGGCTTACGTGAAAGCTGAATTTGAATTTACGGGGACGCACGCGGGCAGAGAACGTTGCCCTAAAATTTAAGCAGTTCCTGAGGCAATTTTCCCCTCCAAAATTTTCACGATGCCCTACGCAGTAACCAAGCGAACGAGAAGGCTGAATTTAGACTTCCGTTGTTATATGTGAGCAAGAAACATAACCCTAAAATTTCAGCTTGCTGGCTTTCGTGGTTCTAGAAACTAAAAACAGTAATTTTCCCTGCCCAAGATTTCACGAGGCCATACGTGATACTCGGGTGAGGGAGAGCTTAGTTAAATTTGCTGGCTTGTAGGGGGCACCTTAACATTTCAGCTTTCTAGTTTTCGTAGTTCCCGAAATGACCCTTCCCCACAAAACCCTCGCAAGGTCATGCGTGGTAATTGAAGTACGTGGGAACTGAGTTTAAACTTGAAGGGTTGCACTCGGGCGGTGAACATTCTACTAAAATGTACTTCCCAGGTTTCGTAGTTCCCAAATTGGAAATATGGAACAAAATGCACTCAAACACATACAGACAAAGGGACGACAGTATGCACTTTATGCTGCTGGTATACAGCGCAAAATGCATAAAAATCAACACTGGCTCTCTTGCACTGGTTTTTTTTTTACACCGGTTTTGGTTCGAAAGTACAGAGGCTGAGGCACGAGTTAAAAATCAAAAATCTTCGTAGACTAACTCTTATAAGGAAGTGAAATGCTGAATGGACGAACCGTAGGTGGTTATGCCACTGACGAAGTGGAACCCTCGCTTTTTTCATAGCGCTGCTTACTACTAAAGTATTCATTCCCCTTCAGTAACACGAAATCTTTCGCTCAGTGCTGTATAGAGGTTAAAATGCGAAAGTGTGAGTCGGTAGATTTTCCTCTTCAGGTGCTTTTCAGGAGCCATTGTGCAGAGCAGATTTTAAGCCAGGCAAAAGTTGTTTTATTCAGCTCGTTCACTGTTTACATTGTCGATCAGTTCCAAAACTCGGCAGTCATTTATTTGATCATAATAAGCTTACAAAAATTGGCAGTAACATGGCATAACGATCAGTCACTGATTGGCTAAGTAGTATCCTGACTGCGAACGAATTCCTCTCTTGAAGAGTCAAAATTTGACGTCCTTACAAAATTCCTTGTGAAGCGCTTACTTTTTGAGTGGATGCCCATATATTTTTTTTGCATTGTTGACTGGCACCCAACGATTGTTTTTCAAACTAACTCCGCACAGGTGATATTCCTTTTTGACACGGCCAGAAAGCTGAACACTAGGTATTTGAGAAGTTGGGTGGTACTACACTTTATAGCCCATATATTAAATCGGTGCATCCACGTTTTTTCTATCATGCAACAGTGATCACTCACTTTTCAGATTTAGCGCTCGTCAACTGCTAGTTTGCGGCAAACCATTATTTGCTATACATGAGACTAGTCGCTAAAGCTAGCAATTTTTCTAAAGTCAAAAACGCAAAGGAAGTATGTCAAAATCGCAGGGGAAGTATCATAGAAGAAATGTCTAATGTGTGGAGTTAGTTGTGGCGCTAGATGCTCACTCAAGCAGCAGATCAAGAGTGACTACTCCCCACTAGGGACTGTACTCTCAAACAATCAACATACGCAGATTCAGTTGGGTTTAGCATCTCTTGAAAAACATTAACATATTTAACACAAGCGAAGAAGACAGTCGTCCATCCCAAATTACCCATTCATATATATACTTGCATAATGGCACTCGAACACAAAGAATACGAGTGTGTTTTGTTCAATTTTCTTAAGCGTTTTGTTCAATTGGTGAATGCTCTTTATGAGTGAATGGGTAATTTGGATAGCAAGCTATTTTAAAAACTTTGTGTTCTTCAAATTTTGAAATGCAGCAGGTAGCTAAAACACGAAAAGGCAGTGGTTAGAGAAAGTGAATGATTTTTTGTCGTCGCAGATTTTTATTAAGAGCGCTCGCACTCCAAACTGCTTAAGTGTTGCTAAGCATTATTGACAGCTCGCTGGACTGCGCAATGAGAAAGACAAGATTCGTTCGCAATAGGCACTGCAAATGCCAGAGTGGCAGTAAAAAATTTGCCTTTTTTGAAAATTTTCAGAACTGTGGAATTTTTTTAACACACACAAATACTAAAGCGCATATTCTTTAGTAGCATCACCGTCATCTGAATAATAGGAATATGCAGTATCGCGCTCATTACGTCTTCCTTCTGGCCTCCAGAAGAACAACTCTTCCGAATTTTCGTAATCTTCTTCCTCCTCTTCTAAACCTTCCTGATTACCTGCTTCTCCCAGTTCCTCACCAGGATCTCCATTACTGTTGCCACTCTTCACCGTACTTGTATTGTTTTGCTCAAGTGGTGGTGGTGTCTGTCCAGAATGTGCTTGTTCTAGCTCACGTGGTAGTGTTGTTATAGTACTTGTAACAAACGCTACTGGCTGTTGTATGTTAGTGGCAACCTCAGTGACACTCTCAGGCGAGGAGAAAGAAGCGAGACTGGAGGACGAAATGGTGGAAGCCGAAGTCGCTGGAGCACTCCAAACGTTTGGAGTTCCTCCATCAAAAGATCCTTGGTTTTCTGAAATGAAATTTTCTTTAAAATTCGAAATTTGCTCCCACAGGAAATAGCACCCATTTGAAAAAGAACTAACTGGTCAAAACTCTGCTTTTTTCTTGCTGTCTAGGAAGTATTTTGTTATATCATTGCACACTTCATTTGCTGTCTTTATCTTTACGCACAAAGATCTCATGTTGTATATGACATTCATTATTCTCAATTCCACGTATTCAATTTAAAAAATTTCTCTGCAAAACATGTTCTTGACACAATAATCGGCGGTTCTTTTTATGCAGACCACAACTCCTGATAATCTTTTTCCGCCTTCTTTAAAATCATTTTTATGCGCTTTTTGCAGCTATGCAATGCAGAAAATGCATATTGACGAGGGGTTGTCTGTGTGCCCGTGTGTCTGTGTGTGCGTCTGTACCGATTTTTCGTCTCAAGACCTACAAAAGCTAGAGGGCTGAAACTTTGGGAATTTAATCTACATGTGTGTGTGGGCCCCAACCTCCAAAATGGGCGCCCTCACCCGCGTTGTACCCGCGCACGGGCCCGCCAAAATTTTTTCAGGTAAGTTCATAACTCGGGGATCTAAGACGCTAAAAAGCTGAAATCTTAAAGGGATGTTTCCCGTCCAAGTGGATATTAATGAGCTCAAACCCTGCCCGCGAGTAAACGTGGTACCTACGTATGAGCCCGTGAAAGTTTCTTTCGAGTAAGTTGCTAACTCGGAAACGTGAGAAGCTAGAGGACTGGAATTTTGAAGTGATGTTTCCTGACAGTCCTGGTGACCAGTCTGAAATTCTTTTAGTTAGAAGCATCTGCCGGAAAAGCCAGTACCATTAGCGACAAAAATCTGCGGAAAGCTATGCAAAAAACGCACCTTCGCATGGGTAGCCTGTGCGTTGGCCAATTATTTCAATGGGCAAGCATTCACCAGAAAAACAACCAGGTTTCATGCAAAAAACTGATGACCATGCACGATGGAAGCCCATGTGGCCCCGTAATGCAACAACATCCTCCCAGCCGTAGTCCTTTCCCTTGCATGCGGGGAGAGGCCAAAATACAGCCAGTACGAGTCCATGTGTCAAACAACAGCGCAGGAACCATTTCTACTGTTAGCGACCTCCAAGTTTAGCGCGAGAACGCATAACTACATCGATTCGTTTCAGTCTGAGCTTACATTTGCATAAGATGCGAAAACGCATAAATAATATAAATAAACATACCAGGGGTATCATCAGTTCTGTATCCCTCATCGTCCGTGTATTGCTCTTCAACGTCATAGTCACCAATTGCAACTATCTGTTTTCCCTGCCCAGAAACATCAGTTGGTGGCGGTCCAAGACTAACTGTTTCTGCATGCCGAATTCCATCACGATCTGGAACTCGATCCGCTGCAACTACCATTCCATATCGCAATCGTTCTACATCATCCGTTTGGACTCTGTCACTGTGTTGATCTCTGTGATTTATTGCTTCGCCAGACGAACCGTGATAGGGCTCCGGACCATTAATTTGATGATTCCGCCGCATATCGAGCAGTTCGGTCGCTAAAAAGCTCTTAAAGCAAATACAAATAACAGAGCGCAAATGGAGACTCCAGCTCCAATACGTTTCGCTGTAAACTGTGTGTGTGTGTGTGCAGTTGTTAAGTATACTAATAAATGATTTTTATGCGGTTTTGCTGTACAGTGCCATAGTGCTGCTACAGCCAGCAAAAACGCATATTGTTGAGAGGCTCCCTGTGTGTGTGGAAGCGAGTGCATTTTGTCACCGACTTTCGTCTCAGCAACCAAGAAAGCTGGGAGGCTGAAATTTCGGACATATGTTCCTACCCCCTGTGTTACT